TTTCCACCAGAGTATCAGGCAGCATGTCTGCCGCAAGGAAATGATCTATCATGAGCAGGTAGTCAGTGGAGACTGAGATAGTCAAGGACCACACTACACCCTAGTTGAGTATAGTAGGGGGTGTGGTAGCGGTATCAACGGGTAATCCAGTCGAGTATATCAGAGCGGTGGCTCTTCTATCTGTGATGTGTATTGAGTATGGTAGTGGAGTCCTTATTCTCGTGATGACTCACGTGTTGGATTGGGGGTTGAGAAGTTGAGGATCAGGAGTATGATGATTTATTGTTTCTGTCTAAGAGTTAGTGATAGTACCAGAGAGTGTGGATGTTCAATATTGGAATGGTATAAGACTTCGAATGGCTAGGGCAGTCATGATGAGAAGTTCCTGAGGATTTCTTTGGAGATTTAGGGTATTTGAGGTTTCTTGATCTCTACGTGGGGAGATCATTGGGTGTTGTATGGCACCTTCCAAGCGTAGGTGCGATGTTTCTGGAGGAAACCGTCTGTGGGGTAGAGTGTTGATGCATCAATTGGTGATGGTTCAAACCTTAAGTGGGGGAGAACCGGGTATTTTGTTGAGGGAACCAAAGATTTGTGCAAGAGCGGTTAGGGGTTGGATACAGAAACCTGCAGATCAAATTCAGGAGACCAGGGTCATTTGCGATCAAGGAAAGGTGCAAAGCGAGATAATGCATGTGGTATGTGACTGAGAAAGGATGGGTGTCTCCACGGCAGGTGGCTAATGATCAGGAATCTGGTGGTGATCAGGGTCGTTTCAAGTGGAAGACTTGTAATGATGGTATGGGCAGTTGAGAACTTCTGGGACGAAGTATGGATTGTATATGCCCCTTTTTGGGGTGGATAAAATATTATCGAGCAGCCAACTCCCCGGCCGGTATGTGTATTGTTGCTTGGATTTTGAGCAGTATGGGAAAGGGTTTCGGAGGGTCATCAACGTGTTCTGAAGCATTAGTGCTTTCTTTGTATTCCAATGGAGTGGTTGGATACACTGAAGTTGTGCATTGGGTAAAATGGAGAATTATTTATGGGGTTCCGAGGAAATGTATTGTTGTATCTATATGGTGCTGGTAGTAGGAGATCAGTGGTTGAGGCAGGACATCGTAATGTTCTGTAATGGTGATCCGTGGTACCCATGTATAACGTTCCGATTTCGGAGTTAATTAGAATCTTGAGTTTGAGTCGACTAGTGGTGTATCATGTATCTACATTTCCAGTGGGAGCCCTTCGGGTATTGACATCAAGAGGGATTAATTAAGGAAGTGGATCTCCGCAGAGGTAGATATTTTGTTATAGCGGTTGCCGCCAGAGTCTGTGATGCATATATGGGACAAGTGTGTGTAGCTATCTATGATAGTCTACGGAGCAAGAGTTAGTGGACGTAGTGTGGCGTTGTGATGAGAATGAGAGTATGGGGTGAAGCTACGGGGATCTTTAGTGTTCACTAGTCAGAGAGTGTTGTGATGCTACAGGGAGCCGTAGTACTCACAAGTCAGAGAGAGGGAGTCGTGGTACTGCGGGGAGCCGTAGTACTCACTAGTCAGTTGGTGTTATGGTGCTACGGGGAGCCGTAGTACTCACTAGTCAGAGGTTGTCATAATGTGCGGGGAGCCATAGTACTTACTAGACGGCCAGAGAGTGTGATGGTGAAGTGTTCTCCGATCAGTGTATGATGCAGAAGAGTTTTAGGTTTGAGTTGCCCTAGTATTGAGTTTTTGGAGCATGGTGGTTGAACCAAGGGCGAGACTGGGGTCTCCCTCTCTGTCAGGGCTAAGTCGATTTTCGGTCGGATTGTAGTTTTCATTCGAGAATTTGGTGACTTGTGTGTCACAGGGCCGAGTTAGTTGATGCGAAGAAGAAGTCAGGGGGGGCTTCTGCGGAGAGCCTAGCAGAGTTGTGCGTGAGGGAGGTGGTATCGCGGCACGAAGTACCGATCTCGATTGTCCCAGATCGAGATGTACGTTTCACTTCCAGATTCTGGAAGAAATTCCATGAGGAGTTGGGCACGAGGTTGTATTTTAATACCGCCTACCACCCACAGACTGACGGGCAGAGCGAGACGACGATTCAGACGCTCAATGACATTCTTCGGGCATGCGTATTGGATTTCGGAGGGAGTGGGAACACGTACTTACCCTTGTCTGAGTTTTCGCATAACAACAGCTATCATTCGAGCATTGGTATGCCACCCTTTGAGATTTTGTATGGGAGGAGGTGTCGGACTCCCATTTGATGGGGAAAGGTAGGGCAACATGTGATGGGTAGTACATAAATTTTGCTTCAGGCGATAGAGCAGATTCGACGGGTCAGACAGAGGTTGTTGACGGCCCTGGGCCGTCAGAAGAGTTATGCAGATAAGATGGTCAAAGCTCGAGTTCCAGGGCGGTGATTTCGTACTCCTGGAGGTATTTCCTTGGAAAGGAGTGATCTGGTTTAGGAAGTGGGGCAAACTGGGGCCCCGATATATTGGTCCTTTCAGGGAGATCGTGAGAGTAGGCAGGGTAACCTACCTGTTGGAGATACCTGCAGAGTTGGACAAGACTCATGACACCTTCCACGTGTTGCAACTGAGAAAGTGTATAGCCGACGAATCGGCAGTGGTACCAATAAAGGATATTCAGGTGGATGCGAGCCTGAACTATGTTGAGAGACATGTGGCGATTAGGGATCGGAAGATCAAGGCTCTAAGGAACAAGGAGGTGCCTCTGGTGCAGGTCTAGTGGCAGCATCGGAAAGGGTTAGAGTTGACTTGGGAGCCAGAGCAAGAGATGTGTGAGCAGCATCCAGAGCTATTTGCAGAGTGAGACTTCGAGGACGAAGTTTGATTCTAGTGGGGGAGAATTGCAACATACGGATTCCCATGTATATTATTTATTCATTTATTTTGGAGTTTGTGGAGGGACTCGACAAGTTGGTACTTACACTCGCCGAGTAAGGTCGTGAATTCTTATCCGGTTAATGACCGGTCTCGACGAGTCGACTAGTGCACTCGACGAGTCCACGCTGTTTAATGAAACCCTAATTTCCGAAGTTTGAGACCTATTTGAACGCCCTTGTGGCCTTCATTTGCAGCTACCAGTTGATTGAGAGAGACCCCAGATTGTATGAGCGTTTTGAGAGAGAAAGGAAGCCATTTTTGATCCTTGTGTGGGTGATTTTGCAAGAAGAAGGTGACCAAGGCAAGAGGAAACTGAAGAGGGTGGTAATCTGTGGATTTCAGAGCTTAGGGACTTCATCTTGAGGTATATATTCGATCCCCTTTCAGTTTTGGTGTAAGTTTTGGAGAGTTAGGGTTTCTAGCCACTTTTTGAGTAAGATTTGTGAAGCAATTGGTCCCTTTTGTGTTGGGGCTTCGAATCTGGATCCAAATAGGGCCAGACACCTTAACTTCTTGATCTTTATGAGTGTCATGAAGAATTATGAGCTTAGGGTGTCATAATGAGGGGATTTCTCCAAATAGAGCCATTTGGTCATTGTATGGGCATCAAGATCCAAACTTTACGTGTTTATATTGCTTAAGGAGACCACATCTATGAGTTAGGGAACGGATCTGACCTCAGGAGCTCATTTGAGCTCGAGCATGGCATGAACTCGCCGAGTATCAAGAGTAGACTCGGCGAGTAGTGTTAGGGTTCCCCATAGTTCACTCAGTGAGTGCTTGCCGAGTTGGGAGAATGACTCCGTGAGTCAGAAGGAATTAGAAGACTGGAGTTCAAGGCAGAACTCGCCAAGTTCATAATGGGACTCGGCGAGTCGAGTCGGGGTGGCCCCGTGACTCATGCCAGGTGGGACCCGTCGAGCAGGGGAAAGAATCGACGTGTCATGCGGGACTAGAGGGATAGTGCACACGTGTAGACTCGCCGAGTCGCCCAACTGCACTCGACGAGTCGGGTCAAAGTTTGATCGATGACTTTTGTTGACTTTTAGGGTCTGGTCAACAATGGAGCCTTTGAGTTCAAAGAGGGGTAAAATGGTCTTTTACCCTTCCAAGGGTGCCAAGAGAGGGTTGAGTCTAGTCTCAAGAGTTATATTTATGAGAGTATTTACTTTATTTGGTTAGGCGGAGGCTAGACCATATTTCTACCGAGTCATAGATTTACTGAGACGTCTCAGGTGAGTCTTCTCACTATACTTTACCTTGAGTGGTAATTAGAGTTTTGTGACAGATTTATTGTATGTTATTTATGTAATGTGTTGCACTGCATTATTTCTATGTGATTTATGTCGTGTGTATATCAGAGTTAGAATCGGATGGTTCACAGAGCTAGGACCAGAGTGTCCACAGAGTTAGGGCCTAAGGGCCCACAGAGTTATAGTCTCGAGTGACTAGTATGTGTTATGTGGGGTATTTTGGGTAACTCACTAAGCTTCGTGCTTATAGTGTTTTGTGTTATAAGTTTCAGGTTTTTATCAGGATCACAGGACGGCACCGACTCGATTGTATACACCAAAAGAAACGTTGGTTTTAAGGGTCCTAGTCTATTAACTGATTGAACAAAAGAGTCATGTATTGTAATTTAAACAAAAAGGGAGATTTTTATGAAAAGTATTAAAGAGATAAACGATTTTTAAACGAAAATTTTGTTTTAAATTTTCAGTGTTACAGTGCAACATTTGTATTGTCTCTTCCAATCTTTTTTTTTTTTTTTTTTTTAAATCTTGATTATATGTTGTTGAAATCTTATTATTATTATTTTTTCGTTTTTTTTTTGTTTATTCTTGTTGATTTTTTTTTATATTGAATAATGATAATTTCTTGATGAAATATCATTATTTTTTGTTAAAACATATTTATTTTTTGTTCAATTATCATTATTTTTTTACTAAAAGATCATAAATTATTACTGAAATATCATAAATTATTGAATTTTCGGTAATAAAAAACTATTTTTGTTTTATAAAATCATTTTATTTTAATTTTTTAATATTTACAGCAGATTCTAGATGTTTAAAAAAACAAAAACGGTTTTTATTACAACCGTTTATTTCACATCTTCTACTGCAGATGATTGTAGATGTGATTCGTAGACTTCATAAAATTTTTCCTACATAAAACAAAAAACACATATTGTTATATATATTGTATTATATTGGTATAGTTAGCCTACTTTGCCCAATGGCCCGATCTATCTTTGTGGTACTATGCATTTCCTCTCCCATTTCTATGGAAAACCACATAACATTACAAAAATAATTCACCCCATAATATATATTTATTTTACGTAAAATAATTATTCAAAAATGAATACAAAGTTACCCGAGCTTACATATAACGTTATTTCAAGTACATTTATTATTGATACATCTCTACTTAAGATGTTACAGGCAATAATTATGCTCCGTAGGTTGATCATCATTCTGGTTCTTCGCCTGCGAAATTAAACATATATAATCTGTCAAAATAAATTGCAAAAATATAAATTGATGATGAAACTAAAAAGACGATAGAAAAGAAGATTCATGACATGATTAACACACAGTTCTAGTTTGTTTGGTATTCAACGCCTTTTATCGCGGTTCTCTCTATTTTGTTGCTTCTTGTTTGTTGGTAGCTTTTTGGTTTTTGCTAATTTAATCAATTCTAATACTATTAATTATTGAAAAAAAAATATCACATATTGACACATCATATTCCCATTTACTGATATGAAAATCATTAATATATAAATATAATATTTTCATTAAAACATTATTAAATATGATTCAGTAAATGTGTCGCCTGTTAACGGTTTCATTCAAATGTTTGGTAAATGCCACTCCTAGACGTCCATACCCCAGCCGCTCAATTAAGCATAGATATGATCAAACAAAACAGTTTATAATGCGAAAACTTCCACACAAATTTTAAATTTGTTTTTGGCATTGAAGTTTCAAACAAAATTAACATATCTACCCTTAATTTGTCACCGTTACATTCACACATTCCATGACCGATCTAAGTTCATATGAATCAGAATTAGGGTTGGTGATTATTCACTGTTTACAAATAGAGTTGAACAGGTCAAATCCATTAATATTGACTAGATACATAATATTTAAAAGTTATTGAAGAAATAATATTTATATAAACATATTTAAAAACTTTTGTCTTTTGACAAAACTCTCGACAAAAATAAATGCAGAAAAAGTTGTAAAAAGTTTCGACTTACTCCTCATTTCTTTTACTTTTTAAATAAAGTAATTAATTCGTTCTTAATAAAAAAGCAAGGGTATAATTAGCTTATCGTTATCATTTTTACTTAAAATACCTAAGGAAGATCATGGACTTAATGGGGCCGGAGCTGGAGCTATAAATGGAGGTATAGCTACAGATGGAGCTGTGGCTGCAGGTGGTGAAGAAATATACACGGGAAGTTTCAACCCCGGATTATGGTAAAAACTGAAAAAACAAAAAGATTTTGCAGTTATAAATATTATGAAGGCATCATGTAATTTAGCAAATCATATAACTAGTAACAGCAGACCTCATAGCTGTAAACAGTGCAAAGGAGCCATTAACAGGAACATGTCCTCTCAAACGGTTGTATGATAGATCACTACAATTATTAAAAACCAAACAAAACCATAAAAAAATTTGCAAAAATTACATAAAATGCAATTCCATGGCATTGTCAACTTTGAAATATACTCACAGAACTTGTAGTGTACTTATAGTGGTTAATGAATATGGAATAGTTCCTGTCAAAGTGTTGTGGTGGAGACGTCTGCCATCGCACAAACAGAAAACAAATCAATGAGCAATGAGAATTAAGTTAAAAGTATATATGAATATGATTACAACAAATAACAATCTCAAAGGGTCATTGAATTGAGGTTGAAAGATATGCACTCAATTAATTAATGAAAAGAATTTGAAAGATGTGAAATCGTACAGGTAGCGAAGCTTTTGAAGATTGCCCAATGTGCTTGGAATGCGACCTTCTAACTGATTCATGTAAAGATCCAAACTCACCAAATTCTTTAAGTTCCCAAGCTCTTTAGGAATTTTTCCTGTGATCTTATTACCATAAAGCTCCCTGTCACATCTTCATATGATTAGTAAATAGTACAAATTAAGACGTTTTAAATAAAATTATTTAATTCTAGACCACGTGTCTCATTTAAATAGGTAAACTTTCGATAGCTAAAATGTAAGTCTTACAAGTACTGCAAATTCATGAGTTGACCAAGCTGTGGAACTAGCTGACCACTCAAGCTCGCGTTTCCAAGTTCTCTGCATTCAACAAATGCATGAATACAGATTCGTTTGTAAGACTAAGAAATTGTGAAAGTACTAAAATTTGAAATTTTATTGAAATGGTGGATATGCTTACAATCTAGTAACACTGTTCTCATTGTTGCAAGTAACATGATACCAAGTACATGGGTTGACGAGGGTTGGATCCCAACTTTGGAGAACATTGTTAGGATCGCTTAGTTGTACCTTTAAGGCATTCAAAGCATCACCTGTGTTACACATGAAGTGCAAGCTCATTTTACAAACATCAATTTTATGAAGTTTTACTACAAATATCATGAATTTTTTTAATGTTCTACATAGAGTATACGGGGTTTTTTATTCTAGAGGTTCTCTATAGAGGATGAGGAATTAAGAAAATGCTATGCACTGCATCTTTTAAAAATTGGCATGCATCAAGAAAGAACATACCTTCAGAATTCCCATAAACCTTCGAAAAACTATATAACACAAAAATAAACCAAAGGAGAGTAGAAGTTGAGATCAGAGGGGAGATCCTATCCATTTTAAACGAGCCTTAATTATTAAAGGAACCAAAACCTAACTCGTATGCTTTAAAAAAAGTTAAAGCAATGAAAACCTATTTATAACATCAAGAACTTAGACCCATAAAAACCAGTTTATGGAAGCCTTCACAATGGTAATTGCTCGGAAATTATTGTGGGGTTTGCCTATGAAAGAGACATTTAGACTAGACTTTTGGGTTGGACCTAGTCATTGGTTACGTAGTGAAATCTTCTAGATTTTGTTGATTATCACTTTTCTAAAATGATTCAAAGACGGACCAGTGTAATAGATTAAGATAGTTTATTTACTTCATTTTCGTCACCATTAGTCTCCTCCAAACTCAAAGATTCACCCCACAACATATTTGAATTTTCTGTGACAGTTTATCTAGTTTACTAATTTAATGAAGTAAACAGCTCACGTCGTACGCTGGATCTGTCTTTGACTTCAAATACGTGAGAGAAAATCAGAATAAATAAATAAATCTTTTTTAATAAATCTTTTTTAATAAATAAAGGTTTTTTTGCCACTTGTCATACTCTTATTCATTTTGCCACATGTCATTTTGTGGTTATTTTGAATTAATTTTTATTTCATATGTAATTGTGTGGTTTTCCTATTTTATTAAATTTTATATGGTATTTAAATTTAATAATAAATGCATATCAATTTCATTAATGGACTTTCCTTATAACTTTAAATTTTAAAATAAAATCTCATTAATTTGCTTTGATTATTTTATTTAAATGATTTGTTTAAATTTAAAATAGAAAAAAAAACACTTTAATTTTAATAATTCAATATTTTTTCTTATTTTTCTTATAAATTCAAATTTCTCAAATGTTTATACATATTTAATTGTTTTAAATACACTCATGTAATACATAGGGTTCACACCTAGTAAATAATAAATAACCCTAGCTAGAAGCTCTCACAAGCAGCAAATGGCTAGGCTCAAACCACGTGTCCATAGAACACTCATCTACTTGCGTTTTTGCAAAATGCAATTTTTAAGTCACAATGCCATTTTAATATAATAGAATTTATAAATCATCAATATACTCAAATTTTGTTTTCTTATTTATTATAAATTAGGACGAGCTTAAATTATATCATATACTAGACGAATATATGCACGTTGTACTGAATAAAATTATACGGTTAAATTTTTGGTAATCATACGTTATTGAAAATATTTATGTCATTCTTATTAATTATAAAATAATAATAATAATTACATTTTGTAGATGCAAAATTATAATTAATTTGAACAATAAATAATATAACATTTACTAAAATCAAATCATTTAATTGTTTCTCTTCATATTTTTCGTGGGTATAAAATTAATTGAGGTGACTTAGTAACAAATGTGAAATATATTATAAATAAATTATTGATCCATATTTAAATTATCGCACTACTGCAAGACAGGATGCATAGCCGTATATTTGCATCCATGGATTATTCGGGCATTGAACCCTTATTTAGGAAGTTGTGTTTTCAGAAAAAAAAAAAAAATAGTTATAATACTCACTATTTTTATTAACTATAGTTATAATTTATTAAGTTTAAAATTTTTTTGATGATGTTTTAATTTCATCATGAATATAATTTAAATTATTAATAACTGTTTGTAATGTAACATTATTTAATTTATAATTTCATGTTATTTTTAACTATTATTATTATTGTTATAAATTAATTTAAAAACAACGTATTTGAATTTTAGTTATTTTATTTATCGTAATTAGTAATTTTCTTTCAGCTATTTTAAAAAACATATGTTGGATTTTTATTACTTTAGTTTTTAAATTTTACATTATATTTTTTAAGTTTGTTTGATATATTAATTTAGGTTATGCACTTAACACTATATTGAAGTACACAAAATTAGTATACCATATTGATAAATCAAGAAGTCTTCAATTTATGATAACCTTTATAATTAACACCATCTTTAAGTTAATAAATTAAATATATTATGTGAAAATATGAAAAGCTAGGAGTTTCAAAATGATGTGGTAAAAGAACAAATGTTTTCTGGATTATTTAAATTATCAACCGCTATTTTTAATGTAACATAATTTAATTTATAACCTTATGTTATTTTTAATTATTATTTTAAATTAATTAAAAAAACTTAATTGAGTTTTAGTTATTATAAAAAATTGTTTTTTGACATCTTTTTGTTAATTCGACCTTTAGATTTAAGATTTATATATATATATATATATATATATATATATATATATATATATATATATATATATATATATATATATATATATCGTATTTAATATTTTCCTTTTAATTATTTTAAAAAATACACGTTAATTTTTAAAACATTGTTGATATTTTAGGTTAGATTTAATTTTTACACTATATTTTCAAGTTTACTTAATATATTAATTTAGGTTATGTATTTAACATTATATTGAAGTCAACAAATTTAGTATATCATATTCATAATTTAAGAAGTCTTTTATTTATGATAATGTTTATAACTAACAACATATTTAAATTAATAAATTAATTAAATTATATGGAAATATAAAGAGTTGGGTGTTTCAAATTGATGTGGTGAAAGAAAAAAATGTTCCTTTATAATATAGTATGATGATATGATAAATGATTAATTGTAAGGCCCATTTGAACAATTCTTTTCTCTAGTCTTCAAGTGCTAAAAGGTGATTTATGAAGCCTTTAATTCATGTTGATACAGAAGAAGATATGGGTGGTGGACTGATGGATGCTAGGGTTTTTAGGGAGACTGATTGCCTTCAAATTTTGGATTACTTGGCTTGCCGATTCATTTCAAACACCAATTGTAAAAGGTATGTCTAATATTTTTTTCCTCTCCATGTTTGTTCTCTTTCTTAATCATCACTCAATTTTTTTCAACTTTTAGATTCACTTACAGAATCTTGGTCTTTCATTGGTGAATTTCTGGTAAGTGATTGTTTTGGGTCCTGTTACAAGATCGCTCCTACTAAAGAAGGTTAAACAAGGCCTAATATTCTAGGATTCTTTTCTATTTGTTTGTAATTGTGATTGCTTTTGTGTTGTTTTCCAGTATTCAATTACAACTATCGTATTATTCTATTAACATCATAATAGTGACGGTGGAGGTTGATTCCAAGTCATCTTCAAGTCACAATTTCTCTTATCCTATTCACTACTCGATTTAGTGCTAATTTGTAAGGGGTATTGGTTTGTTCTTTACTTCTTCCCTTATTGGCTTCATTTTTCCGACTTATTTATCATCCATTTCTTTCTATTATATTTGTTCCCTCCTATTGGATGTAGGTGGTGTGTTTTAGCTCACTAATTCATTGGTGCACACCATATGATCGATGACATGCAACATTGAAGAATAATGATTTTTTTGCATTCAATATATTATTCATATGTATGAGTCAACTAAAATTGGAATTCATGTATCACATAGTTGATTCACTTATTTTCCCAAGATCTGATGTGACCAGTGAATATTGAACTCATTAACTTTACT